TTCGAATATTGTCCGTAATCGTCAACCAATTGTCCGTTTTTCCCGGCCTCGGACTGCCTCCGGACCGATTTATGAACCTCGTGGTAAACTCCGCCTATTTCTTTGCATGTCCCACCTATCTTTTTCTTCCTCGCCAACCTCTTCCCACTTTTTACCCGATCTCTGAACTATCTCTGAGCCGATTTATAATTTTACGGCGAATTTTGAGAACGCCCCGCCCACCGGGGGTGGGTCTCCCTAATTCGATGTGACTTACCAATGCACACCTTTACCCACTTTTTGGCCCAGTTTCGAGGCTGTTTTGTCACTGAAATTGAAATCTTGGTCTCAGTACAGTTCATTTCGATGCACGCCACGCCCACTGTGGGCGGGGCTCCGCTTAGCTGATGTGTGTTTTGTACTTCGTGAGACCTTGCCCACCCATCCCACACTTGACCCGGTCCCTCCAGGCGGATCCCGAGGAGCTAGGGAATTTCGTGACAGACATACAGAACGACAGACGAAGCGCTTTATAGTAAGTAGGATGTAAGACGTAATATTCTTTCGATATTTACAATTCTATTTGAGTATTCATCCAACTGCTGACCTTTCGTGAAACACATTCACCATCAAAAGCTTTTGATAACTATGAAACAACGAACTGCTCCCTGACCATTACTTTTCCTTAATTCTAGATTGATGTGATGAGTGAAGATCAGCAATCTCATGACATCGCGGATGGGGAGGACGCTGAAGACGTGGAGCGTAGTTGGATTCATCAAGTGGAACATGAAGAAACCATTGCTCCCGAGGTATATTTATGTTCTCTTTTTGTTGGCTGTCGGAAGAAATGTTCTTGCTAAGGCTCCTGTAATCTTGCCCTGCTTTTGTTTTAACTACACGGCTCTAATCAAAATGTCGCTAAATTGCAATTTCCCTAGCGCTTTCGAATTCGTCATAATGATTTGCGATGTGTGGCAAATTGAAATTCAAGGTTGTGCGAGCCACACTGGACATACTCTCGCTTTCAAAACATGTGAGCTTGTGTTGCTCCGTTTTGTTAGGCTAAGTTTTCACGCTTTGCTAGGGAAGTACTGAAATTTTTATACACTGATTTGTGTAGTTCTAAATTTGTTATGTAATAGATCTCGCAACGGAATTTTTAACTTCTAAGAGGTGTAAGTATTACTGTTAAGCAGTCATTTTTAGTGTTATATGGTTACTAGAAGGAAAGCTGAGTAACTGTGAGAGAATCCATCCTCATAATTTCTGTCGCTTGTTTGGTTTTCCCTAATGTTTCTTTTTTTTTCCTATGCTGTAATTTCATCTTTCATTTCAGGCAGTACATGAGGAAGAAATCGAAGAGTTCATTGAAGTTGATGGTGTTGTCGATGATCATGACATTGGGCAAAACGTTCTTTTGCATCCCAACAAAGTCGGCTCCCATGGCATACATATTCCAGGTAAAGTTCTCGTTTTCTCAAGGCTGATCTTTCGATAGTACTTGCTCTTTCTGTATTATTTGAAGATGAGTGAACCAGAACAGTTTCGAGAAAAAACTCAAGTAAAGTCATTTGACTGATCGTAGGCAGTAAAATTCGATTTTCGTTTCTGTTCTATTCCTACTTTTCCTATTCTTCGTCGGATTAAATAGTACAACATATGCTGTATTTCCTGTACATCCACGTACAACTGTCGCTATGGCGCGACTGCTTCAAAAGCCTGTCGTTCATTTATGGTCTAATAGCATCTTTACCTTTTCGTGATATGCCGCAGAGAGGTCGTTTCAGACATCATGATTGTACCCAGTTTTGTTCCGAATCTGAAAGGGAAAAGGAAGTCTAGACGATTAGCACATTTTTATTTTTAGGGCGACAAATTTATTATGCTGATAGCTCTGCGTCAACTGGTGAAGAGCTTTGCATGAATTTGCCGGATCTTTTGAGCCGAACAATTGTATTCACGAATGGCTCGAAAATGTTCCTGTGTTTTTCGAAAAGATGTCGAAAACAACTCGCTTTTGAGGGACATCTTTACAACATAAATGGATTTGTAAGAAACATTTTTGTGTGACGCTTTTTAGCACTGCGCAAGCAAGTTTCAGAAAAGCTGAAATTTACAGGTTAAACCGGCAAACTGGAACCTCTGGCGCTGTGCAAATCCGTCGTGTAGAGGAGCCATTCGTACGTCTCCTAATATAACAGAATTACGCGTTCGTGAACCACACTGTAGCTCTTGTCGTCCGGATGATATACAGGTCGGTCATTCTCAATGTTTTGAAATGGTTGACCTCACATTGTAATTTCAGATCAGGTTACGAATAACGGTGTACGACCTCAGATTAATGGCAGAATTCACCGATCTACCTCTCGACGCCTTATACCATGCATACCGTAAGTGTACGAGCTATTTTAATGAAGTTTCCATCATTTTTCGGATTGTTTTCAGTTGACAAAGTGATGAACGAACATACGGATATTGTGCATCTTTTTCCATCCTTTGAAACTCTTCGTTGTAATCTGGAAGATCATCGAGCTAATCTTGTGAGTTTTACATTAGGCGGCGCAATGTGGCTCGGGGGGGGGGGCCAGTCGCCGCCGCGGCTCAGCGATGTAGTGTAACTCGAACATTCCAGCTTCTCACGGAACATTCCAGCTTCTCACGCATGTCAAGTGACTGCCCTCACCCCCCCCCTGAATTGGCTACATTCCCCCTGGCTCACGAATTTCCTGTTGCCGCACACGCCGCGCGCGGCCGACTGGTCCCCCCCGAGGCGCAGCACTTGCCCATTAGACTTACTGTTTTGAAGTAGAGTTTATTTACGGCACCGCATAAGATTGTTGCCATTCGTCGCTTCTGGTCTGTCGACTGCGATTGGGTTAAATATGGTCTTCTCTTTGATTTTCCTTCTAGGGACAAGTAATAGTTAGCAAAACCCCAAGGTTAGCTAATTAGGTTAAATGCTATTCGGAAGCTGCTATCAGTGTAAATGGTTGTTCAGTGTTTTTATATTCGATTCATCGTGATCTTGATTTTGAAAATGAATTATGCGTTGCAGATTTATCGGAAAAGATTTGCGGGCGAAGCACGCGAGACCGATTCTCAAGCCATGTACTATGATTCTTACGGGGTTGGTGCTGGAAATGGTACAGCGAAGTTCCGACGCACAAAGCCGTTTCCTCCAGTAAGTTTCTTTCCCACCAACAGTATTGAATTATAATCTCTGCTTTTCCGCTCAATTATAATCCTCGGGAGTATACTGTTCCAATGAATTAACAAAATTGCATCGTGACGTTAGGGAGCGTCCTTTCGGGCTGAAACTGCCCCGATTGTTGTAATAAGACATAACAGGAATTCCTCTGCCCTGGTATGCGATTTGCAGGATTTGTCGAGAAGGACACTGTAGTAACGTGGTGGCCATGGTTTTTTGTAATATGTGTTTTCTCCAATGGGTTATGAATGCTCGTTATTCCAGGAGATATGGGGTTGTTTTTCCATCTGCACTCAGCTAGCGTACTGATATAACTTTTGGCATCATTGATCTGCGTCCAACTCTTCCAACAGATTCCAAAGTAGGCAGTTGAAAATATGCAAACCTTCTCACTGGCTTCTTCTTGTTCACAAGATCGAACACAAGTTTGAAGCAAGTTTCTCAACCGAAATCTCCACAAGGGAAGGATACCAAGTCGAAGTGGCCATCCGTAATGAAACCTATACTCAGAGATGTGTTTTCGGACGCTGATCTCGAATCCACTCTCCAAATTTGCGAAACGATTCTCTGAAAAGTGTTACGGAGGTTGTTTCGGTGGACCCACTGTAAGAGACTCCGGCAGAGCCGTCTTCCAGCGGCGGCCGATGTGGTGTGTTAGGCGGCTATCCAGTGGTAAAACAGGCGATGGATCTTGCTGGGCATGAATGCTTTTGCTTTTTGTAATTAGGTCTAATTTAAATATAAAAATTATTCAGTGTTGAAATTTTCACTGCGTCCAAAGCTAACGCATGTTTAGAGGGGTTTGTTTAACGCATTCCACTTTTTTCGTAATGTTTCGACCCTGCCGGGGTGTTTCTACGCCACGGAAGTGACGTATATCCGACGATGGCTAAAAATAATGGAGATGCTTGCTCAATAGTCAATACTCCAAACTATCTTTGAAGGCTGAATTCTAGAAAGCTGACATTTGGACCCAAACTCCAGAAAACATCAGTTCTAACAAATGAATTAGTATGTGTTATCCCTACCGTCCACATACAACACACCCTGGCAGGGAGCATGTAATAAAAAATTCATATTAAATCTTCGATGCACGAGCAAGTTAGCAGCAACTCAATATCCTTCGCATAATGATGAAAAGTTTAAGCCTCCCCAAAGCTCTAAAATAGATAATTGTAAATAGATTCATAAATATAAGATTCAAATGTTGTTGAAAGGTGTTTCGACGCGCTGAACACGAATATCGCATCTGCTTGGCACGAAATTGCCTTACGCGTGCGCTACGGGTGTCAGAGGCGGTCACTTGCAAATGACGCGCACAGTGCTCGAAGCTCTTCGCCAGCTCTGTTTACTTGTGCTATAGGCAATCGCTGATAACTTAGCATGGATAAGAGTCCCTTAAACAACGTTCACAAGAAAAGCAAAAGTGAGAAACTCGCCAAGAACTCGAACTCACGACCTCTCGTTCGTTGAGCCGCACCGCTCGCCGGATCGACTACTCGCTTAAATATATAATAATTCGCCAGATAAAATAGATATAATGATGTCGACCAAAAACAATCTAGGGTAGTTGTCTGCGTTACAATGGCATTCGACCCTACAGCTCACACATCCCTTGTTATGTTTCCAAATTGGTTTATCGCCGTGTTTTGTATAGGAATATTATCGAGAATAGATGAAACGATCTGAACGACTCCATTGATTTGCAAGAAAAATCGCTTTTTGGCAATGCTGAAACCATTTGATCATTAACGTATACTGCTTATCCGCTTTTAGCGATGTAATTGCAGACAATGTGTATGAGGCTGCCACGCGATATTTGGAAGCAGTCCTGATGTCCCTTCACAGGACCAGGTTGCTCGAACACATGTTTTTCGATCACAATAGAAAAACTTCTGTGATTAGGCCGTTCAACATTTGATTATCACTGAGATTTTTGCAGGTTGTTTCCACTCGTTCAGGTCTAAATTAATATTTGGCTGGCTGCTCATTACTTTTTTAGGCATGGGTTCTCGGACTACAATTATCACCAAGCAAGTACCGCATGAAGAAATTGTGTCTGCATGACGAACACATGTACTATTTATGTCAAAACGATGTTCGTCATTTCAAAAATAATCGAGCTGGCGTTCCGGAGATGCACTGCACTGCTTTCATTCGAGTTCTTGATTGGCGGGTGAGAAATACATTTTCACGATTCTTGGATGCCTTAGAGACGGGGTTATTTTCTGTGACAGAAAGTTAAAGAGTATGAAAGAAATTGGATAAAACCTCGTACATTAGGTAGCTCTGTGGTGCTACTTAGCCTTTAGTTTTTATAAGCGTTAAGCAAATAGTGAAATTCTTGAATTTCTTTCTGCTTCCTTCCGCACTCACTTGTGGCAAAAAGGCTGTGGTTCAATAGGACAGAGAAGCGACTTTTCGCGTTTCGCAGCGCGAAACATTTTTCGCTGCAGGAACCTCAGGTCCACCGCTGATCATGAGTGGACCTGGAGTTCCCGCAGCGAAAAATGTTTCGCGCGAAACGCGAAAAAGTCGCTTTCTGTCCTAGTGAACCACACTCGGTAAGAAGGGGGTGTGCGTCATGCCAGTAGAGGTGAATAATAGCGGTGGAAGGAACAGATAATGATTTGAAAAGCCCAAGATTCGTATACATTCTGATGACTATTTTCATTTTTTTTTACTTTTCATTTAAGCTCATCATTCAAGGCGAGCTTAACGAAGTTGTGGTAGACTATTGTCTGGATCACTTCTATCACGGTGGTATGTTACTTGTTCATTCCTTTCCTTGCTATTATTCCTTCTTTCCGTTCCTAATTTGGTATTCTGTTATTATCACATCTGTTGTCGAATACCTTCACATCATCTGCTTGATGACGTTTTTATATTAACATTTTGCAGATGACTCCCATAGAGCATTTGCCAACGTCTAAACCTGTTGATTACTTTACTCCAGAGGTAATTTTGTTCTTTACAAGTTAGTGTTGAAGGTAGTCGCTTTCACTTTTAGGTATTTATGCGCGACCTGGCAATAAGACGTGAACGTACACAACAACTTATTCAAGACAAAGGCTTACAGAGAATCAAACGGAGAAATCAACCGCCTTCAATTTGTTAGTCACTTCTGCCCTCTTCCTGTTTTAGTACTGCAACGAATAGCTCATTGTTTCAGCTATAAATCCATCGTTGAAAATGAGGAAAATCGATAACACTCCGCGTGGTCGCTCACCCCAGGAAAACTGTAATACTAACATTTTATGCCTTAATATTTGTCTTTAATTATCTTGTATGAGGTATTTTAAGATTATGATAGCCGCAACGAGTGCGATCCGGGAGACAGTGATGAATGGGTAGGGAACCCTGAGAGCGTCTTCGGCTCTTCGCGTGCTCAACAGCGTCAAAAGGTTCCTGTTTTCCACGTTTTAGTTGGTTTTCTCAAATAGGTGGCTCGCCGCATTGAAGTCAGTTTTATTGTAGTTATTAACTTTCTTAATGCTATTACTTTCTTTATTCGTTGTGCAATCCCTAATTTAACTTTTTATTGTCTGCATTTTTCGATGTCCGATTAATACACTCTTTTAAGAGTGATCTAAACATCTTTTTTTGGACATTTGTTCACTCAATCGGAATGTGAAAATCACGTTACTAAGTGATTGTGGCACAGAACGGCTCTCTACTCAACCAAAAACTTATTCTATCTTTATTTGCTTAATAAAATGAAGTTTGGGTGTACCAAATGAAGTATTCAAAAAATTCCTTAGCTTTCAATGAGAACCGTGATTCTCGTGACTAATGTATTCTGAAAAGTTCAGGTTGTCCAGCAGTTGACACACGAGGAGCCTACAGGGAAATTTCATAGTCGCGACAAGGTATCCTACTGAACCTCCACAATTTTCCCGGCCCCTTCAATTAGAATTTATTAGAAGAAATATTTTGTTATTTCTCCCGTTTTCTGGTGATTCGCATAGTCACTGAACCCATAATATTTCAGGAATCATACGTACCATCTTATATCACGAGACGAGAGAATTTCTTCGACGCAGAAACGTACAATACTGTATTACAGTTTGAAATGACTTGTGACGTTAGTCGATTTCTTCTAGATGTATTATTATTCATGGGTTCAAGATACTTGCTACGGGAAAATGGGCAGGGGCTCCTATAGAAGTGAGCCGTGTAGCATGTACATCTCACAGCTGTATCGCTTTTCAAGCAGCCTCATAGTCCATAGTATGTGGCACAATCGAAATACATTTCTGAAGTTGTGTTGTGTTCAGATGCTAAAGGAACGCATGCAGTATGTTCGCGCTATTCAAGCAGCTAACCATTATCTTGGAAGGCTAACGCATATCCTTGATGATGTGATGGCTGATCCTGAATGTGCTCCATCATCATCTACGGCAGATGGAGTTTCAGTTTCGAACCCTGCCGCTCTTCATGGTAATACTGCAAGTTTGGCTTAATCTTCTTGGCCTTTTTTTTTACATATTACACGTGAACTCTTGTAAAATACGTGTGGGTCCAGATCATCTTTTCTTTATGTAGTTGTGGGGTATAGTGTCTTTCCGATATTGGGTGCCTCTGGTCCCTAATGTGCTCGCTTATGTGCCATGCGGGTCTGAATTCTGACGGTACTAAACACAAGTACCACAAATATTTATTAAGATATAAGAATAAGTGGATGCCACGCGCTCGTCTGCAGGCTTAGTCCTCAATTGCCGATCCAGTATTGATGATCTCCGGATGAGGGGTCTTTTATTGAGATGTAGGGCTTCTTCATTGGGCGCGGAGTCGATGGCAGTCGTCCAAGTCTTGATCGACGGAGGAAGGCAAAAAGCTCGTAGCTCCTGTATTGATCCGGATGAGGCGTAGAAGGAGAATGCTGCGGTTGATGGAGTCGACTGGACCACGAGCTGAGGAGGAATCCGTGCTCACTCCGGCGAGCCTCTTTTATACCGTGAGGGATGACGGCGGCGTGGGCTTGGAATGCAAGAATCGCCTGTAAGCTCTTAAGATCAGCCTGCAGATAAGAAAACTGAGAAGTCACATTGATCAAATGCAAAATATGAACAAGTTAATGAACTACTGACCATTTAGTAGCGCTAGCTACACTCCCGGCCTCGCTAATGATACCCCTCTTTTTCGCGCGTTCGTATTCACTTCGAATCACTGCGGTCTAGAATTGTGAAATGTCGGAGGATGGACCCCTGCTCGCTGAAAATATTGG